CCCACCTTCTAAAAAATGAGGGCATTGGTAGCCAATGGCTTAACTGCAGTAGATCTGACCCGCTGTTGGGTTGCTTGGAGGATATTACCTTTGAGTCGGCGTAGCGTCTTAATGTGTGAATATACCAGAGACACCAAGGATCTGCAACGTTTTAATCAGACATCTTTGAGCGACCAATATGTCAATGATATAGTCAAGTCGCTGCTCGGGGAGCCCATGGACTTTTGTTGCAAAGTGGGATTAAAACCTTTCTGTAAACTCAACCCATCTCCGGATGTAAGTATCTTACACCATCCTTCACTTTGCTTGGTTACCTCTTGTCTATTATATTCCTTACTTTTCATGTTTAGATTTAGACATGCCAACTCCCCTTTTTGTAAGAAAAAATTGCCTACAGCCGCCTCAACCAAGAAGGCCAAGACAAAGACTCGAGGTCCAGGACATCCCAAGAAAACATCTGCTAAAGAGCTGCTCAAACTTGATGACGAGTCAGAGGTAGAACTTGACTCTCTTGCTCTTTTCTTTATACAACTTATTGACGCTGACTCCTCTTAGGGAGAGGCAGAGACCAGCCATGCATATGTAGCATAGGTAATTACAATCTCCTCTGGCTCAAAAACTTTACCAAGAAAGAAAACTCGACGGGTCGTCTGGAAGGTGAAATTTTCTCATCCTCTCACTCACTTGGATCCCAACTTTTTTTTGAAGAAACAACAACATGAGTCAAGTGCCCAACCCAGAGCAGCGACTCTCAAGACCTCATTTCCAGCTTTCCCAATACACCTGCTCCTCGCAAGCGTCGCCATTAGGTGCCACATAACCTAGACTCTCTTTATCCTTTAGCCAACCACATATGTCAACCTCTTACTTCTTCCAATTCAAATTATCAAAAGACACCTCCTATTGGGAAACGTAGCATGCAATGTCAAAAAAATTCCTACACTCACGCAAGATCTATCTAGGAGATTCATAGCAACGAGAGGGGGAGAGTGTGTCTATGTACCCTCTTAGGCTGAAAGCGGAAGTTTTTGACAACACGGTTGATCTAGTCGAACTTCTTCTAGCTCCGACCGATCAAGTACGGACCGTACGACACCTCCGAGTTCTACACACGTTCAGCTCGATGACGTTCCTCGCCCTCTTGATCCAGCAAGGTGTCGAGGAAGTAGATGAGTTCCGTCGGCATGACGGTGTGCTGAGGGTGATGGTGAAGTGATCCGCAAAGGGCTTCGCCTAAGCACCGTGACAATATGACCTGGGGTGTAAACTATGGAGGGGGGCACCGCACACGGCTAACAGTTGATGTTATGTGTTGTACGCACCCCCCTCCCCACATATATATAGGTTGGAGGGGAGGAGAGGCATCCAAGGGGGCGCCCCAAGTAGGCCGAATCCTACTTGGGGTCCTCCATAATTCGGCCTCCCTCCTTCCGTAATTGCCGGAGGGGGAAAAGGGAAGAGGAAGGAGCGAAGGAAAGGGGGGGTGGAATCCCCTCTTTCCCTCCAGCGGGGGATATTTGAAGCAATCGTCACCACCAACTCCATTCAATCAAGGGGAACATATTCATCCAAGTTATCTCACCATCTCCAACATCATCACCATCACCCACATTCCCATGTCATCAACTTTTGTACAACGGAGTGTGATTTGATTACCTGTACCACTTCTTGGTGTTAAATGTTGTACTGTTAGCTGATGCCTTGCGTTTTCTTGGTGAAAGATCATTACTTACAGATTGTTACAATTATCATCACCATACTAAATATGTTCACGATGATTTGTTGTGAGTAGTTCAATTTCTTTGTGTTCTTAAGGATATGCAATAAAGATTATTGTGTAATCATGTTGTATTGTAATTCTCTAGTGGTGTTATGTGACGTCGATTGCATATCACAACTTTAAGGGCCTGGAGGAGGATATTGTATCATAGTAAGTTTAGCGTGAGAGTTCAGAGTTACAGAAATTACTATTCGACGAGTTTATGAGTTTTCACATGAGGGGTAAATAGGGACCCTAGAGGAAGTTATGGCTATGGCTGGATGCTTACCTTATGAAATCTTAATATTTGTGTTACTTGCTAAGAGCACAATCAAATAAGTATCTCTGAGTCAATGGTTTTGCATCATATAGTATTAGGCTCTATCTCTATAACACCGATCAAGCAATAATAATCAATTAAGTCATGTATGGAGTTGATAACTATGCGATTATCTCGCTGCCCTTAAGAATGTTTGATCATCATAAGTAACACAACCGTCTTGTCGACAGGATTACTAAGGATTGGGTCACTTGCTGCACTTTTCACTTTTTATTTTTAATCATGTTTCATTGCTCCATTACCACCACAAGACTCAACACTGTTACATCTTTTAGTACTTGAAGTGAATCCTTGTTGTTTTTGCACCTACCATTTTCATCAGCTCCTCCTGAGACCGATACTCTCACTAAACAAAAAGATGTACAATAGACCTGACCCCTACACCTATGGAACATTACCTTCATATCAAGCTTTCTCTCCTTGAGTCTGGACTTCTTTATCGACACTTCTTGTGCATCCAGATGTTGAACCCCTTGAGTTTCATCCAACAGTGCATCAATTTGAAGGGATTTTCCTCCATACTTTACAATGTGACAACACGACCGGGCTATACATTGATGCGATCATCAAGTTGCAACATCTATTGAATCCATGAATTATTCAACTAGAGGCAAAACTTATGATCTCCATGATTGACGCGCTCGATGGCCACATTCTCTCCACTTGTGAAAACCGCAATACTTCACTAGAGTGTTTGAAACGGTGTACCACTCATGAAGAAGCGGCATTGTGATAATACATCACATCCAAATTGTAGGGTGGATAATGCTTGTGCTCACGAAACCAAGAATGCACATGTTGACAACATATCATGCTCTTTGCTTCATTTCTACAAACCCCACATTTGTGGCCAACCACCTGTCGCACAATAATGCATCCTTCCTCACCATGTACCCCGCCATCATGCTTGCTTCATGTTAAATAAGGAGAAAGTAAAAAAAATCTCAATGGCATTTGGCAAAACACTTATGGGGCGTGGTGTTTGCCATGGATGGCGTCGGTAGGAGAGGACGATACCTTGATTGCAGCCGGAACTGGGTGCAACGACGGAGGTCCAACAAGAAATAGGCGGTGGCCGGAGTGGTATAGTAGCATCGGTCTTGGTTGGTGCAGATACAGAGCAAGGGTGGATGGGTGAAGTGAGGATAAGGGCCCTGGGAGAAGGGTTTTTAGTGTGCCAGGTGTGTCGGAGTCTGGCATGTCTTGACTCCCCCTAATCTCACATGAGTTTGTTTATAGTTTGGGAGAATTCAAACGTACAGAACGGTCCATGGATGTAGTGTTCGAACCACGTTGTGTTGTACGGATATTTAGGATTATTTTGAAACACAACGTTGGAGTTGCCCTAAGCCTGAGCGTCCATGGTGATGACTCCCCTTTTCAAGATAAGAAAGGGAGAACCCATGAGAAGAAAAGGAAAGCGAGAGGAAGTAGACACCAAGTTAGCGACCACGCACGTACCCCCCCCCCCTCGCAGCGCTGATGTTGTATAGGCCGGCCATTTCTGGGTTTTATCCCAACTGGTTTTGGGAAGGTCCACTCTACTAGTTTGTTTTGTTTTCTTTATTTTTCTTTCATTTTCTTTTCATTTTTCCCTCTTTCTTTTACGTTTCCTTTTCTGTTTTCCTTTTGTTTGTTCTTTTCTTCTCTATTTTGTATTTTTATTCTTGTTTTCTCAATTTCCAAAAATATTTTTATTTTATGACACATTTTAAAAATCATGAACATTTCCTTGGAATATTTTTAAATTCATGATTTTTCAAAATTGTGAACATTTTTAAAATTTGTGAACATTCTCTTAAATCATGAACATTTTTTGAATTCATGAGTATATTTTCAAATCCTAATCTTTTTTGAATGATGAACATGTTTTAAATTCACGCTTTTGTAAAATGATGAACCTTTTGAAGTTTGTGAACATTTTAAAAAACTCCATGAACATTCTCTTAAATCCTGAACATTTTTTAAAATTTTAACATCTTTTAAATTCATGCACATTTTCTTAAACCATGAACATTTTTTGAATTCATGAATATTTTGTTTCAAAATTTGAAACTTTTTTGAAATTTAGAACTTCTTGATATCCCGAATTATTAAAAAAAACAGTAGGCGTCCCAACCCGCACATGGGCTGGCCAGAAGGGTTCCCAAATAGGCTTCGCGTGCTGGAAATGGACAAACAGTGGAGCACTAATTTTTGCTGCTGGCGATACCTTCCCCAAATATAGATGGTCCTCAATCCTCGTAGATCTGGTACCTCAAAGATTTCTTTTGCGCAGGAAAGGGGAAGAACGGCAAAAGAAAGCAATACCAAAACACACTGTACGTCGTGCCATTGATCCGAAAACAGAGTTAGTTAATCTAACGTGAACCGTTGGAAAATCTTGAGCAAATTGTCAAATCTAGAGCTGCAAAATCGCATCGACAAAGTAATAGGGCCAAATAATTGGTATAAATTCAACTAATGAAATCACAAAGAATCAAGATTTTGCATTTCAACGTGAATAAGCTAACATCGTTCCATCAGTTTCAGTTCTACGCTTGGTACCATCAGCAGACTGCATACAGTCGCGGATACAAAACACACGGATTAACATGAATATCTTCACCACCATCCTCAGATTGACTCTCATAACCACACCATTTCTCCTGAACGAACCCAACTAACAAAATACTTATCGCTAGCTCTGACTGATTGATCAAGACCGCTTCGAAAGCTCTCAAAAAGATAACCATGGAGGATGGATGGATGGACGGATGCAGTAGTAACACTAACAAAGCTACCGTCAACTGAACATGCACCTAATTAAAGGAAAGAAAATGCTAGATCGATTAGAGCTTGGCCGTCGCCATCCATGATCTTGGCGATGCGCACGCCGGCCGGTGGGGAGGTTGAAGGAGACTAGATGGACAGGTCCGGCCACCCCATGCCCCAGAAGCTCTCCGGCAGCGCCTGCGACACCACCGGCGCCGGCTGCGGCAGAGCAGGGACGTGAGCGTGTGCCATCGCCATCCCCGCGCCGGCGCCGCCAAACACGAAGCTGGTGGCGAAGTTGGGCAGCAGCGGGGCGGGCGGCGCGAGCAGGGAGCTGAAGCTGCCGCCGAGGTCGAGCAGGCGGCGGTCGGGGTCCACCGCCGAAAGGGACGGCGGCAGGAAGGTCAGCTCGTACTGCTGCGGCTGCGGCTGCGGCGGCGGGAGCAGCGGCAGCGGGAGCGGCGCGGGCGCGGAGACCGAGAGCGGGACGACCGGCGCGGCCTGAGAGGAGGCGGCGTGGTGGGAGTTGGAGTGGGAGTGGGATGGGCGCTTGCGGCGGACGCCGGCGGGGCTGCCGTTGGGCTTGCGCGTGGCGCCGCCGACGGGCACGTTGCGGAGCGCGCCCCCGCGCGTCCAGTAGCGGCGGCAGCCCTTGCAGAAGTGGCGCGGCTGCGAGAGGTTGTAGTTGTTGTAGTAGCAGAACTTGGTGTCGGTGGACTCGCAGCGCGGGCAGGGGCACTGCGCCAGCCTCTCCGGCTCCCCGGCCCTCCTCACCCCGCCGGACGCCGCCGTGGGCGCCGGCGCCCTGACGACCACCTCCTCCGCCTCCAGCTGGTCCATGGCAGTAATGCGAACCATCGCTCCAAGAAACCTGAACAACCTAAGCTGGACGATGGATCGAGCTCTCGCTTTCTTGTAAGCTTGCAAGAGGAAGCCGCGGGAAGGCGCGCCAATATGTAGCGGGGGAAGCAGGAAGAAGACAATGAAAGTGGTGGGGTGGGGGTGGGGGTGGGGGTGGCGGTGCAGGACGACAGTGGGAGTACGACGGGAAGCAGCGGCTCTAGTGGGGTGGGGTGGCAGGCGGAGGGCAGTTTGAACAGGAGTGGGGGTTTGAGACTTCTATTCTGGGGAAACGGACAAGCGCGCAGCAGCGGCGAGCGAAAAGGCTGTGGTTTGTCCCGGACGGGCGATCCGTTGCTCGCCCTGCCGTGCCGACCGGCGGTGCTCAGCATCTCAGAGACTCCAGTCAAAGACGAGAGGTGGCATCTGGCTGCTGCTGCATGCGGCTGGGCATCTTGCTGCAGCCCTGACCTATCTATCTGACCCTCCCTGCACCGTTTGATTCCCTCTCCTGTTCATCTCTCTCTATCCTCTCCTCTGCGTGGTTCGGTCTGGCTCTGGGGACCGGGCATTGCCAAGCAGCTCGTACGTAGGAGTATGCAGGACAAATTAACGTTGATCATTCATGTAGTAGGTTGCAATAATGTGTATAGCACAAACACGAAACATCTGGTTACTCTTCTTGTGTAGAATTACAAAAGCTTACTCTTTCTGCGTAGTTACTATTTTTAACCCCATTCCGTTTTATTTCTCGTAGAAACGCACATGGATCAATGTACAAGTGTGCATGGCAAGTTTCTTCCTCTTGACTGTTGGTGAACTTTCGTTGCAGCTGCACGGAGCGATGAATCCAGACCCATGTTGATCGGTACATGTCGGCTGGATCGAGGCTACTCCTAGCTGTGCAGTAGCAGCGCTAGCTCTATTGACTACCAGGAGTGGTGCCACGGTCTGCGTCAAACGGGTCGTGTCTGGTCAGGTCAGGTGAGTCACACGCTGCGAAATTGCGGGATGCCTTGGTGAACAATCCTCCTCATGTTTTGCCATCATCAACAAGCTAGGCATAGGGTTTCATTATTTCAACACATCGGTCTATGAGTGTTCTTTTCACACCGTCGATAACCTTCCTCGGCCGCAGTTTAATGGAGATGCATGACGAGGCACCCTAGCCTACGCTTGGAACGGTGGGCTGCATGAGCTACTACATGTTGGCCTACATCTTGATAGCTGCAGCAGGCGTGTTCTACACTCTGAAGTCTGAAACGGGTGGGCCCTGCACACCGATGGGTCATTGCCATTGCCTCCTTGGTGCAAAACCTGCATGCACGCAGGTTGATGAATTGAAGGAAGACGCTTCATGATCGATCCCGTGGACACGCCAACAAATGGTCAAATCTCGAGTCCGATCGAGGGAGGGAGACGGAGGCGTGTCGCATGCAGCGGCAGGCCGGCAACGCAGGCGCAAGCAAGACCCAGCGGCCACAGCCCAGCCCCAGAGAGCACCGTCCGGCTGCCTGACAGCGTGGGGACCCTTGGCAGAGCCGGGTTACGTAGGCGGGCAGCAGCTGGCCGGTCTGCGCGCAGAGGTGTCAGGCGGAGGCGGGGTTTGTTTTGGACTGGGCAATTGCAACGGGCCGGCCGCAGCATGCACTGTTTGTCCCCTTGCGTGCAACTCCAGTGCGTTACCGCTACCACCGCCTGCCACCGCCGCAGGAGGCCGAGCCGGGACCAGAAGCAGCCACCACCACCACCCCGAACGGCCTCCTCTCCCTCCCCTCCTCTTGCATGCAGGCCCTCCCTTGGTTGGGTGCCTCTCCGAGCATCTAGAATCGACCGACGACCGGGCAAACCTACGCCCCTGTACAGCGCCGGTCCATCTTTCAAATATCAGACCCAACGAGTTTGAAACATTCAGAACGAATGCCCTCTTCCCATTATTCCTAGCACCTTCTTACATTTGTGCAAAGAGCCATTATTTTCTATCATAGCGGTTGTGTATAATCTTCACAAACATCGCCCATGGAACATAGATATCATCAGCAAGATAGTACTCCATGTTATAGTTGCGCGTGTTGGCGACATAGTTGCACATCGGAGCATCCTTGATTGTGTCTGGTCTGATGGGTTCCTCACCATGTCGGTTTCCTGGGGTTTCATCCTTTGCCACATTGGACGGCCCAGACAGATTATACGAAGACTCTTATGTACAATGCGAAGATATCAGAATCGTGGAGGACTACTTCCACCAACGTAGCCAAATAGGACCCCCGGTATGATCACTACAAAAAAAGACACTTACGTGACATTATGGTCCGAACGGAAATTTTTTCTGTCATGGATATGACACTTCTATGACAATAATTATGACAAAAACACGTTTGATCATAGATGTAGTGGGCTCCTACTTCTATTAAAAAAATTATAACAGAAAATAGGCCTTTCATCCTGGGCGGGCCGAAGGTGGACCTGCACGACATTCTTTGGGCCGTTCATGACTTAAAAAATCGTGGTAGAAGTCAGGCGAGAAATTTTTGAGGGAGTTCCCGCCGGTATACGGTGGGTTGTCGTGCCCGAGCGATGCAGCGGTTTGCGCGTTTCTATTGTACGCGCGCGGGTGTGCGAGCCGTGTCCGCTAACTGAACCCGAGCGATCGATCGATGCCTCATACTGCATACTAAACACGAGTTATCGATCCCACTAGCTAGCTATGTACTGAAGTCGATCGATCCCTTCGCTGGTAACTGAACCCGAGCGATTTCTACGCTGCTAACTGAAGCCGATCGATCACTTCCCTGGTAACTGAACCCGAGTGATTTCTTCGCCGCTAACTGAAGCCGATCGATCCCTTCGCTGCTAACTGAACCTGAGCGATCAATCCTTTCGATGCTGCTTGCGAAAGCCGATCAATTGATGCATGTGTTGCATCGAGCTCCTGCGTGAGACGTGAGTTGATGACCTAGCCGGTTGGTTGCCTCTCGATGAACAGTGCTCGTTGATGCCATGCGCGCGATACACGTAAAACGAGTTTGAGATTTTCATCGATCGAGCCCCTTGCGCGAGACATGGTGAGTTGACCTAGCCGGTTGGTTGGCTGTGGATGAATAGTTATCGTTGCTGCCGCTCGCTCGTACGCCCCACCCCAGCTGGTGGTGTGGATGAACAGGACCCCGTGATAGTAGGCGGTTGGCGCTGGATGAACAGGACCAGACGAGGGCGTGCCGCGGTACGCCACACCCCAGCCAATTAGGGGTAGATGAACAGGGGCCCGTGGAGGCTGGAAGAAGTAGACGTGGATGAACACTAGCCCGTGGAGGCTAGAGGAAGTCGACAGTGGATGAACAGTAGACCATGGAGTCCAGTTTTGCGGTATGTCACACCCATCCCCATGAACAGGACCCTATTTCGACCATGGGCGGTTGAACAGAAGTTCACTTCATCAGTTTTGTGGTACATCATACCCCTCCCGATGAAAAGGACCCCATTTCAAATGTAGGTGGTTGAACAGAAGTCCGCTTCACCCGTTTTGTGGTACGTCAGACCCCTCCCGATGAAAAGTGATACGGGGCTAACCCAATGTACGCCGATCTTTAATGATTGGAGTGGATTCCCTTGAAGAACACGAAGAACACGATGAACACGGGGAAGAACGGAAAAAAATCACAAGGGGAAACACTCAAGAACAAGTCCAATCACACATCCACTAGATAATCAAACACACAAGATCCACAAGGTACATGAACAACAACAGAAAAGATACAAGGTAAATTTCATCTCCATGAGGAGGTCTTGATGATATCCTAGACGGATCTTCCCGTGAGGGGTCTTCATGATATCCCGCAGGATCTTCTCACATGGAGGTCTTGAACTTCATGGGAGTGGTAGTCTCTCTCTCTCTCAAGAGTAGAGGTAGGTAGGAGCAAAACTCACATACAAATGGGCTATCATATTTGCTAACCCTAGAAAGGAGAAGGGGACGGTCTATTTATAATCTAAGCCATGAAGGGGTAAGTGGAGAGGGATACAAGGCCAAAGGCCTGGCTGTGCACAGGCAGTGTCAGACGTCCGGTCGGTGTCGGATGTCTGACGACTCGTGGGAGATCGGTCGTCCTGCGCGCGTCAGAAGGCTGACTTTCTTGTCTGGATAGGTGGCGCCGAACGTCCGGTCGGTGTCGCTCGTCCGGTCGCTAGGACTCGTCGGACGTCAGGTGTCTCGTCGGTCATCCGACCGCTGTAGGCTTGGTCTGTTGCTAGTCGAGGGCGCGTCGGTCGTTCGGTGGACGTCGGTTGTCTAGGCGCTGTAGAGTGTCAGACGTTCGACCGCTGTAGGCTCCGCAGCTCCGTCTTCTTTCGTCTTCGCTTCCACGCTTCCCTCGCGGATGGTGTAGGTGTTCCTTGGTGCTTGCACTCCTCCTCGTCATCCATGAAGCTTCGGTAATACCTATGCATGCACAAGAGTGGAGTGTCAAGTAGTATACCATCCTCGAAGGGGTCAAGTGAACATGGGTAAAGGAGATGATTCACCTTTATGTATGTGAAGTAGAGGTCGCATGTGTCACTTGCCAAACTGACTCTAGACATGGTGATGTCCGTAGGATGCTCCACATCATCTCCCCCCGGGAAAGATCCGACCCGGATCAAAAACCAAATCACCATGGGAAATAAGTGGCCTTGCCGTGTAAAAGTGGACATTCACCAAGTACTCGTCATCTTGAAGCTCGAAATGGGCACTCTCCAATGTCTCACCGTTTTGTGATTTCTTCAAAAGGATCAAGGACAACAAACACTTGGAAAAACAAATGTGGTTAGCGTTAGTGCAAAACCAAGCATTCAAGAGGTGATTCACCCAGCAAGTGTTGTTATCAAGCATAGCATATGTCATGACAAAGGATTGTGACATGGCATGTGAGCACATCAATCGAGCACAAGCAAAGATATCATGGGGACAAGTATGCAATTGTGAGGTAGTGATGCAATACCACAAGGTCATAGCAAGCATTCACAAATTGCTCAATGAAAGG